ATGAATCAATAAAAATTTAAATTTGCAAATGTAGAATTGTACCATAAAAAAACTTATCTTTTAAAAAAAGATAAACAAGATGCCAATCCATGCGCCATGTGAAAAAGTGTTAACAAAAAAGTATTTTTAGTAAAAAATCTATCATTGACAAAATTGATGTTCTAAAATTAATATCTCTACAAAAAGTATGTCCATTATTGGCGCGAATAAATAAACATTTTTATAAAAAATTAAAATTTAAAAACTTATGCAAATTTAAAATTAATATAAAAAAAAGAAATAAAAAAATTTAGTTAAAAAAACTGGGCGCGCTGCAATAAGTTTAAAAGTAACATTTAATTTTAATATCATTAGAATATTATTTAGCAGCGCGCCCAGTTTTTTTAACTAAAATTTTTTTTATTTCTTTTTATTTTATATTAATTTTAAATTTGCATAAGTTTTTAAATTTTAATTTTTTATAAAAATGTTTATTTATTCGCGCAATAATTGGACATTACTTTTTGTAGAGATATTAATTTTAGAACATCAATTTTTGTCAATGATAGATTTTTTTACTTAAAAATACTTTTACGAGATGGAGAGAAGCTAAATCTTCTTTCTGATTTACAATTAAGATTTCTTCCGGAAGCTTTATCATATGATTGATAGAGATTTATTTTTGTTGGAAACAACCAACTTATCTCGTGCTTGAAATTTTACTCTTATACACATGATAGATATATAAATTTTATGCAGCGGAATTTGAGTAGGCGATATCAATTTTCTACTAATTATATGTAGGGACACATATATCTTTTATCTCACTTCTAAATTTTTGGTGGGAAAAATTAGATCTGTTTTGTGGGCCAAATAAAATAAATATGATATTAGAAAATCTAAATCGATTAATTTAATATCATGATTTAATGTCTGAATAATCTGATCAATATAATTTGTTAAATAGAATATATAAATATTTTTCCGAAAGGTACAATTGTGTGTTATTATAATACGTTAGCAAACGATAAATTTAGCTCAAAGTAGATAGATCAAAGAAAGAAGCACGTATAACTCGGTCGGCTGATCTATCACAATTCTGCGACGGTTCGATATTGACTTGATTGTTACGAAAATAAAATCGATCGATCGTGTAGTCGATTCCACACATCGCAGTCAGAATACGTATGACTAAATTAATATAAAATATAATTGACTATAATTAATATTAAATTATTGCTAAAATTATATTTATAAAAAAACCGTTAATCTCGGCTCGAATTATTGTGTACAATAAAAATAAAATCTCGACGGCAATCGGAGCCTGTGCGGATGACATGCACAAAATTAATAAATTAAAATGAGATCTCAAATCAAACTCATTTATTAAATTCTAAACGTTTCGACCCACTTCGGGTCTTCTTCAGTAGCTGCAAAATACAAAGAAACAAAAATAGAAGATAATCGTACAATCAGAAAATTATAAAACTCGTATACATACAATCCGAATAAACATCGGAACATAGATTATTGAACATGATTTAATTGGGAGGATGTAAAAGTCTTAGCGATGAGCCTTTTTAGTAAACGTTTGATATCCGATGACCCATAAAACGTCAGAGGAATAGTTTAAATTTACTAGCGACACTGATATATATGCTTATATCCTCCAAAGCCAGCCTTTCTATTCGGACCGCGCTTTGCGCGGTCCTCATATAGTCTATATTAAATCCGTTTTAACACAAAAAATTAATTCTTTTTTGTATTACCGCGAACTACTTCCATTTGTTGTTCGACTTTCACGAAATTTATACCAAAATAAATGTTTAAATTTTTTTGTGGATGACTACTATGTTATCTATTTCTTTCTCCCAGATATTTTATTTTCTTTTTTAAGAAGACACGCTTTCTCTCTCTCTCACTCTAAAACACACGCGCTCCCTCTCTCTCTCTCTTTAAGACACATGCTCTCTCTCTCCTTATCTCTCTCCCTCCCTCTTTCTTTAAGACACACGCTCTCTCTCTCTCTCTCTCTCTCTCTCTCTCTCTCTCTCTCTCTCTCTGTGTATGTGTGTGTGGGTTTTTTAAGTTTACGCTCACCCACAACAATCGCATATTTATGAACGGATTTTTAAAAAATTGGTACCAAAATGTTGCAAATTTTTGGCGACGATGTGGTTTTTTCAAGTGTTACACCTCCACCACCACACACGCATGCGCATTTATGGACCAATTTTCACGAAATTAGTACCAAAATGTTGCAAATTTTTCTGAGAAAGCTGCTGTGTGGTTTTTTTAAGTTTTATCCCACCCACGCATGCATCCACGCATTCACACATTTATTCACATACTTTTTTGAAATTTGTAGTTAAATTTTGTTGGAGATGGCTACTATGATTTTAACAAATTTTTATCATCCTATTCATCCACCCACGCACCCATGCACCCATTTGCATACGCATTTATTGACTTGGTCACACCAAGAAGTAATTTTTAAAAAATTTGTGTACGTATTTGTGATTATGTGTGCAATTCGTGTAAATAAACCTTTAATTTGTATGCAATTTTCACGAAATTAGTACCAAAATGTTGCAAATTTTTGCAATCACAAACATGTACACAAATTTATTTAAAATTACTTATTGGTGTGACCAAGTCAATAAATGCGTATGCACATGGGTGCATGGGTGCGTGGGTGGATGAATAGATGATAAAAATTTGTTAAAATCATAGTAGCCATCCCCAACAAATTTGAGTACAAATTTCGAAAAAGTCTGTGAATAAATGTGTGAATGCGTGGGTGAATGCGTGGGTGGGATAAAACTTTAAAAAACCACACAGCAGCTTTCTCAAAAAATTTGCAACATTTTTGTACCAATTTCGTAAAAATATGGTCCATAAATGCGCACGCGCGTGGATGAATGCGTGGGTGGAGGTGTAACAATTGAAAAAACCACATCGTCGCCATCTTCAAAAATTTGCAACATTTTGGTACCAATTTTAAAAAATCGGTTTATAAATATACGATTGCGTGGGTGGGTGCGTGGGTGGAGGCGTAAACTTAAAAAAATAAAACACCAGCTTTGTCAGAAAATTTGCAACATTTTGGTACTAATTTCGTGAAAATTGGTCATAAATGCGCATGCGCGTGGGTGGGTGCGTGGGTGGAGGTGTAACACTTGAAAAAACCGCATCGTCGCCATCTCCAAAAATTTGCAACATTTTTGTACCAATTTAAAAAAATTGTTCATAAATGCGCACGCGTGGATGATTGCGTGGGTGGAGGCGTAAACTTAAAAAAATAAAACACCAGTTTCCTCAGAAAAATTTGCAACATTTTGGTACTAATTTCGTGAAAATTGGTCCATAAATGCGCATGCGTGTGGGTGGATGCGTGGGTGGAGGTTGTTACACTTAAAAAAACCGCATCGTCGCTATCTCCAAAAATTTTGCAACATTTTGATACCATGTGTTCAGAAATATTGCAAAAAAATTTTTTCGCAAAAACATACCCTCCCTGAAGAAAAAAAATAAAAATAAAAAATTAAAAAAAAAAACCCACAGCAGCCACCCCCGAAAAATTTGCAACATTTTGGTACCAATTTCGAGACAATCGGTCCACAAATGCGGAAGTAGTTCGGTACAGACAGACAGACAGACGGACGGTGCTTATATATATAGATAATATATATTATATATAATGATATTAAGATATGAAGTGTTATATTAAAAAAAATAAATTTTATAGATGATTTGATTTTGCTCAAGTTTAAATTTATATTTTCAATGAGTTTTAAGATATTTAATAACTTGGATTATTACCGATTCTATTTTTCGCTTGTAATTGGTTTCAATTGTTTTGTCTAAATAAGCGTTAGATGTATAATTAATTAATGTCGGAATATTAATCCTGACAAGACGCACTAGGTGCACGACCCCCGTTTACGAAATCTCTTGTGCTCCCCTAGAACAACATGAGCCACATTGGCCCAATTAGTATGAATGCATTCTACCTCTGACGTTTGATGATTCCACATAGAATTCACTAGGATAAAATATTTGGTTTGCGGGATCCAATTCTATGAAAATAATTTTTCACTGAGAAGATTTTTAAATAGAATTGCAGATTACATTGGTCGACAAATGACTTTTGATCAGATTCGGAATCCTATAAATAATTAATACAGATACACTTTTTAGCGCTGATAACGAAACCGACTGTCAAAATTACGCATCATGTCAGATTTTTAATAGTCTAATCCAAAAATTCGAAAACGGCATTTTTACACTTTTCCGTAAAATATAACTTTTAATTGACATGTGATACAAATTGCTATTATCGTAAAATAAAGCTTAATATTTGTAATTTTACGTAAAAAATGTAAAAACGATTGAACCTAAAGAAAAGTCAAAACAATTTATTAAACAAGTTTATAAAAAGAAATTAAGACATAAAATAATGAAAATATCATTTCTCGCGTTTTTCCTTATGCATAATCTTTAGAGGTTCGGTGAAGTCAGTACAATGATTCACATTTTTACAAGATCTAATATATATAAGTTTTTTAAACTCACTGATAATAAATGTTGAAATTATGTTGAAATGTTCAATTTTTAAGCTGCCATTATTAATTTTAAAAATCAGCACTAAAATATTTACAAGTAAACGCTTAGAAAATTCTCTACCCTTCCGCCATCTGTCGACCAGCATTATTTAATAAATTTGTCAAATCTTTTATAAAAATTTATGACAAAAATTACATCTTTTTCTTTCTTTCTATCAAATATTATTAAAAGAGAATATTATTGAATTATTTTAATATAGAAGTGCTAACACAAATGTAGTCCATATAAATCTTGGTGCAAATTTTTTTACATATTTTAATAATAACAATATAATTTAGTACTAGATATAATAATAAATTAGAAACCAAAATGTCTAATTTTTCAGATAACAGCTCTATTGTCACACAATTAACATATTGATTATCACAATTTTTATGGCCAATGAGGAACTCTAGTACGTTTTAAAAATTTTATGTTTAATTACATACGTGTAATACGAATTGATTTGTTCATGAAGTCATTGCATCCGATAGGAAAGGTAGCTATGTGAGCACCCAAGGAAAAGCCAATTATGTGGAATAGTGACAGGTCAAGACCTGCTGCCACAATCTTTCTTAAACATTGATTCCACATATCGCCTACTCCAAAAGCGTTTTTGGCGACTTTGAAGTAATTGATGTTAAATGCGTATTTACCTCAATCGAGTATTATAACATGATTTGCTCCATTTTCACAGACCGCTGATAATGGAAATAATTATTAAAATTTGTATCGTTTTTCTTTGATATATATTATAATAATCAAATTTCTTAATAAACATAAAATCTAATTGCTTATTATATAAAAGCCCGAAACCTTTCGCAAGTGACAGAATTTTTGAATCGTTTCCATTTTGCAAATATCCATGTATGACAATCTTTATTGGTTTTATTGGATTTTTTAAAACATTTATCAACCCATCTGGGTTTGTGATGGAATAGTTCGATGTTTGATTATTAGTGCTGAAATAATACATAGGATTAGCAATTATTAGTAATAAATATTCAAAAATAATCTGCACGAACCAGTTGTAATAGAGGAGAGAGACACCATTCCCAAAGTTTGGATCCGTTACGTCACCTATACAAAGAATTACATATACATTAATTTTCATATTTTTGACATTTGCGAATATACAGTGCCAAGAATTATTGCAGAAGAAAACGGATTTTTACAGCAAGCAGTTTCATTAAATGGCGTTTCACAATCAGTAGTATTTGAAATACTATATGCTGTCTTCACGAGGTATAACAAAAAACAACAGTATATAGCCGATGTTAACATTTTGAACAAAAAAAATATATCCGTGAACTGCAAAAGTTACACTAAGATTTTTATTGCGAATGTTTTTAACATCTAAAGAGATTTGAAAGTTACTGTCTTTTATAGTTAGAATCTTTATCATTTTATAGGTAAATCTTCACGACGTTTCGACCACGTGATTTTGGTCCTTATCAAGTAAGCAATAAATCAAGTCATACGAGGAGTTCACACATTGTTGTCAAATTAAAACATTATATATATCTCTATTCCGCCAGTTAGAAAAAAAAGACGAGAGACAGCTTAGAACATTTCACGGTAACGATCGTCAACAAGATGAAGTTATCATCTTCTACTTGTATGACTTGATTTATTGTTCACTTGATAAGGACCACAATTGCATGATCGAAACGTCGTAAAGATAAATAAATTGTTGTTTGCTAGTTTGGTCGATTATTTGATTTACCTTATTGACTCGCAATTCAAAAGGATTATGTTTTTGTTTATCATTTTATATTATTATTGATTGATGACAAAATGGTAATTATATAAATTGCTGAATTAGAGTAATTATGTATAAAAATATTCTATGTAAGCCTTATCATACAGTAAAAGAATTATTTAAAAATATTTAAAAATTATTTTAAAAAGTTATTAAAAAAAAGTATTTATATAATATACAAGATGTCCCAAAATATTTACATTTTCAATATTTCAGAAGGTTCTAGAATCTGGAAGTCGACAATTTGGAAATGTTTCATTATAAAGATGTCGGGTCTTTAAGGCATTGTCATAACACGGGTTCGTACATAAAATGATTAGCCAGTGCCTCAAAGCTAAACGTCGCGTTTTATAAAAATAATAAAATCTGTAACGTAAAAAAACGTAATAAATTAAAAAAATACAATGACAATGTTAAAAATGGCAGTAATTATATTACCCAATCATTGACAAAAACGGATTAAAATAACTAGGTCATAACATAAAATAGCATATAAAGATTTTCTTCTGTTCTTTCTCTATTCTTGTTTTTGTCACCTATCATTTATTTAATTTGAGCGGACAGTACTTTGCGTGCGAATTACAGGCGATACAATCGTCTTTATTCTTAAACAGATTATAGATACAGGCGTCTTTATTCTTAAATAAATTATCTCAAAAACGTTTTTATTTTCTGTTATAAAATATGAACGCATTTGAAATTAATTGAATTTACACATAAGTTTTGTCATATTTAAATGTGGTCTCTCACCCCATTGAAACATCCCTCGAAATTTTGATTGACAATATTTTGACAATAAAAAAGAATAGAATACATAAGGATATGTATACGTATTTATCAATTTTCGTAAAATTTGAAGCTCAAATTTAATCAATATACAGAAAATTCGAGTTTTTTTGAAACACTTGAGGAAGGAGAAAGGGATGTGAAAAATTCAAAAAGGGGTCGGTTCCGAACATACGTATACGTTTATAAGACAATTTTGTTTTTTCTTTTACTTATAGAATATGTCTTTTTTACTGTCAATTCTAAGACATCCGGTATACTACTATTACATAAGACCTTGCACAAATATATAATTATGAATCAGAAAAAAAATTCCATTTTGAAATACGCTACATTATATTTTATTTACAAATGTGTAAGAAGAAAAAATGTGAAAAGTACTGCTATTGCGAAAACTTATTGTAATATATTATTATCTATACTATTATATATACTATCAATATCTTGTGAAATATTCCGTAGATATATACTTTATTATATGTATATGTACACGTGTATTATCTACTTCATTTTTCTTCTAATTACAATTTTATAATTAAATATTTTATCAAATTTTGTTTATCCAAATTAAAAAATTTAGAATTAGTAATTATTAGTAATAAATATTCGAAAATAATCTGCAGTATATATGAACCAGTCGTAATAGAGGAGAGAGACACCATTCCCAAGTCTGGATCCGTCGTTACGTTACCTACACAAAAAATTACATATACATTAATTTTCATATTTTTGACATTTGTGAATATATAGTGTTATAGCCCGAAAGGCTATAATTACAAGTTAACGGATATAAAATCCGCGTGGAGACCGCTGATGCAGCAGCGGGCCGGAAACCGCGAAGACGCAAGCTAAGAGCTTCATCTTTCGAACAGCTCTTAGCTCAAAATCTAGCCGCGTATGCAAAAGCTATGCACCAATCGGGTGCCTGTCGTCAGGCACCCCTTCCAAATGAAATAACGAAAAACCGAGTTCACGTAAGAACTCGGGAGTGAACAGAGAGCGAGTTGAATTAGACCAACCTACCGAGACACATCAAGGATAACTTCCGACTCGAAATCAGATGAGTCGTTATTTAGCTAAAGTCAGAATAAATCTAGAGTCGCGTCAAACGAACAAAAAAGAGAAACAAAGTTACCAGAGGTTTTTTAAATAACCATACGCCGAGTCTTGTTGATTATATATACCAGTATACATATATATATATATATATATATTGAATAAAGAAGTAATTCTACATTAAACAAGACTAAAATCTACGGAGAAACCCCGACGATTCAGAAGTCCACTTCCTAATCCGGCAACATCCCTTCTGTGTCTCACGCGAGGCACAACAATAGTGCCAAAAATTATTGCAGAAGAAAACGGATTTTTACAGCAAGCAGTTTCATTAAATGTCGTTTCACAATCAGTAGTATTTGAAATACTATATGCTGTCTTCACGAGGTATAACAAAAAATAATAGTATATAGCCGATGTTAACATTTTGAACAAAAAAATACGCTACATTATATTTTATCTACAAAATATGCAAGAAAAAAAATGTGAAAAGTACTGCTGTTGCGAACACTTATTGCAAAATATTATTATCGATACTATTATGTACTATCAATATCTTGTAAAATATTCGCTACATATATACATTATTATATGCATGCGTGTATTATCAATTTTAATTTTCTCCTAATTACAATTTCATAATTAAACATTTTATCAAATTTTGTTTATCCAAATTAAAAAATTTATTAATTTTTTAAATAACGAATAAATTTAATTTTGTACAAATAATCAATTTAAACTTATTTAAAATTTAAAAAAATTATACACGGATGTTTTTAGTATACCTTTCGCATATCCATTAATCAATTGTCAATAGTCAGTGATCAATAAATCTAGAAAAATCAGAACAATCTTTGCAATAGAAAAAAGTGTGTTTTATATATATATATATATATATATATATATATTTATTTATACAGAAATTTAATTTGCTTCAGAAAGATGACACAAAACTTTATATTGCTATTACAAAATTGATTTATCAAATTTATTACTAGTTCTAAACACATGATTCTGCGAATACTTGTTCTTGTTACCAATCCATTCAAATAGAAACAACTGTCTCGCGTAGGCAAATAAATTAAGGTATTTATTCTCATCAATAAAAGTGTCGAAAATATAAATCGTCTTTTAATTTTATCTATGTACGCTATATATGTATATTATCGATATTCAATATTCGAATTTATTTTGGAAACAAAATGAATATATTTATATCTTTTGTTATTACAATGAGAATAAATTTAAGTTGAATAATATATAATTTCAGAAAAAGAATATGTCGCAAATTTTTCAGATCACAATTGTTTTTAAATCTTAAGATGATTAGTCTTTTTTTAAAGAAGGTTTTATAGGAAATTAGTATTTATTCACGTTTCTAATTTATGATGACATTAAAATATCTATTTAAAATATATTTAAATTTATATTTAAATTAAATTAAATTATATAATAAATAAATATAATTTCTTAATACTTTTGTTATATATGTGTCCTTTTTATTTAGTTCTGTAATATTTACGGTTTATAGCAAGTGCGAAACTTTTAGATTCCAGTATACATATCGTAATATATATCCCAGAACTGATTCAATTTCATATTACGTAATTCTCATGCAATTTTATATTATGTCATATCGAAAAGCAAGAATTGACGTAAATTTTGTTCTGACACGTGGCATGAAATAATCACTTTGATAACTACACAAATAAGACGAGAAATTTCTTTGATAATACAAAAAAAAAGAAAGATAAAAAACGAGATAAAGAGAAGCTAAATCTTCTTTCTGATTTACAATTAAGATTTCTTCCGGAAGCTTTATCATATGATTGATAGAGATTTAGTTTCGTTGGAAAAAACCCAACTTATCTCGTGCTTGAAATTTTACTCTTATACACATGATAGATATATAAATTTTATGCAGCGAAATTTGAGTAAGCGATATCAATTTTCTGCTAATAATATGTAGGGACACATATATCTTTTATCTCACTTCTAAATTTTTGGTGGGAAAAATTAGATCTGTTTTGTGGGCCAAATAAAATAAATATGATATTAGAAAATCTAAATCGATTAATTTAATATCATGATTTAATGTCTGGATAATCTGACCAATATAATTTGCTAAATAGAATATATAAATATTTTTCCGAAAGTTACAATTGTTATTATAATACGTTAGCAAACAGTAAATTTAGCTCAAAGTAGGTAGAACAAAGAAAGAAGCACGTATAATTCGGTCGGCTGATCTATCACAATTCTGCGACGGTTCGATATTGACTTGATTGTTACGAAAATAAAATCGATCGATCGTGTAGTCGATTCCACACATCGCAGTTAGAATACGCATGACTAAATTAATATAAAAATATAATTGACTATAATTAATATTAAATTATTGCTAAAATTATATTGTTTTACAAAAAAGGATGATATCAAAAAAATAGATTAAAGATATATTATGCATCTTTCTCAATTATATATTTATATATATAATTTTTGTTAGAAAATAAACATTTTTGTAGGAGTAGTAGATTATATAGAGATTAAATTATATATAAAGAATACACATTTTCATAGTATTCTTAGATTACATAGAGATTATATTATATAGAGAATACAATTTCTCATAGTATTATTAGATTATATAAAGATTATATTATATAGAGAATACATATTCTCGTGGTATTATTAGATTATATATAGAGATTATATTATATAGAGAATACCCATTCTCATGGTATTTCCTGGCGGGCTAACTAGACGAGGTTTCGACGTACTTGACAAATACTAGGTACATTCCGAACAAATATTATACTTGATTGAATAGACATATTTTAGACATATAGACGTTCAAATATATTCCAGAACTAACATAAAACGTCTTGAATCCAGTTCTTGAATAGGCAGTCTAGATTTTATTCATCTAGATTTTGTCAAAAAACAATGTGTCTAGATTATGGCCAAATTCAGTCAAAGTTATCCAACATTTGATAAAATTTGTCTAAACTTTGTCCAAGACTTGTTCAGAAAATTACTGTCCACACTTTGTACAAAACTTATTCAGATTGTCCATTATTTTTCCGCAGAAATTTGTCTAAATATCTAAAACTTGTTCAGAAAACTATTGTCCACACTCTGTACAAAATTGGTTCAGATTGTCCATCATTTTTTAGCAGAAATCTGTCTAGATTTTGTCTAAGACTTATCCAAAAAACATTGTCTACACTATTAAAAACTGCACAAAATCATCTAACATTTCAAGACAGGAATCTGTCTAAATTTAATCTAAAACTTGTTCAGAAAACTATTGTTCACACCCTGTACAAAACTGTTATTATCTTGTAATAGTTCTTTGCCGCTATGCGATGCAAGACGCACTGTCTATCTTGTATTCCAGTTTAGTTACGAGAATTATATAAAGCACATGCAAAAAGCGGCTATTACGATTAAATGTGTTATTATTTTGATCAGTTTAATGTTTCTGATACGGTCCCAACACAGGGAATTCAGATGTACATATGTTTATATATTATTCATCTTTTTTACACATTTTAATTCCTCCCTGTCTTTCAGCGAGATATTGACAGTTTTGGACGTCTTGACAAGTCATATAAGTCTTTCAAGAAATAAATTAATTCTATTTTCTTATTTTTTATTTTAGTACGAAAACAGTGTTAAATGCATAATCGGTATTAAAATAAAAAATTAACACAAAATAGAGTTGATCAGTTTGATTTCTGAAAAGCTCATATTATTTGTCAGAATGTTGTCCAAACTGTGATGTTTAGAAACCGATTAGATAGATTTTAGACAGATTATTTCATCAATATTTTGGCAACGTAGACAGTTTTTAGATAGTATACAGACAAATATTAGACAAGGTAGTCTAAAAATGAGACTGATGGACGTGTTCCGATGTCCAGAATGTATCTAAAACAAGTCTAAAATTATGCCTACTTTTTGTCTATAGTCCACCTAGTTGGCCCGCTAGGATTTAATTACATGCACAGAGTAGATTACTTGTTGGATATGATTGAACTGGACAGCTACTGATAAGACAGATTGGCTCCGTTACGATCCCAACTGCCTCCGAAATCATATTTGTTGAGTTCTTTGAAATTATTATGACACAATATTGTCCCGGTCTACAAAAACATATTATAAATTAATATTTAGTACATAAGAAGTTTTTTTTATAAATTATATACATACAATATATATGTATATATGTATGTGTGTTTGCTTGTTTATACAAAATATTTAAATAAAATTTTAATTATCTTACGTATTTTCTGGATTTGTTGTATATCCAAAGACGGCAGTATTATTTTTGCTATCTGGACATTTATTCGAGGTACAGCCCTCAGAATATATTTCGTAACGCTCTGGATGTGTATAGTAATCAAGTGCAGCTACATGCTGACAAAAGACTAGTAGAAACACAAGAAAATAATTAGAAGGCACGTAGGAACTTAAGTCTTTGTAACAATGTATTGAAATGAATCGATGCTGCAATTTTGAATAAATGCTCTTTGTAATAATTTTTCGAACACTCTAAGTAGTGATCGATCGAGTTAATAAATTATTTTTTTACATTTTCATAAAATTCTTTAAATAGGACAAAAATATTGGTATATATATATATATAATGATAAATATTAAGATATAAATGTTAATATTAAAGTAAAGTAAAATATTTATAGATAATTTGTATTTTTACTCAATTTAATTTATATTTTCAATGAGTTTTAATGACGTATTTAATAACTTCGATTATTACAGTATGATAATGCATCGTTAAAACCCGGTCCAATTGCTAAGTTAAATGCAGAGATAAATGCATCCTTAAGTGCGTTAGGAATATCAATGTTTGGGCAATTACTAGATTGCCAATGACCACTGTTCACGAACCACTCCTGTTCTCCCATAGAACAACAGGTGCCAAATTGGCCCATGTTTGTATGAACGGCTTCTACTCCTGTCTGATTTGAGGGATTGAAATAGCATTGAGCAGGATATAATGTTGGATTTGCGGGATCCAATCCTATAAAGAATAATTTTTCACTGAGAAGTTTTTTTAAATAAAATGTTAAATTGCAGATTACACTGGTCGACAAATGACTTTTGGTCAGGTTTGGAGTCCTAAATAATTACTACCGATACATTTTTTAGCGTTGATAACGAAACCGACTGTCAAAATTACGCATTATGTCAGATTTTTAATAGTCTAATCCAAAATTCGAAAACAATATTTCTTAATAAAGTTTAAGATTTGTAGTTTAAAATAAAGCTTAAGATTTGTAGTTTTTCGTAAAAAATATAAAAAAGATTGAACCTAAGGAAAAATTGAAACAATTTATTAAAAGAATTTATGAAAAGAAATTAAGTCATAAGATTATGAAAACATCATTTTTCGCGTTTTTCCTTATACATAATCTTTAGTGATTCGGTAAAGCCAGTACAATGATTCACATTTTTACTAAATCTAATATGTATATATATATAAATGTCTTAAATCACAAATATAAATAAAAGTTGGAATTAGATGTTCAATTTTTAAGCTGCCATATTTAATCTGCCATTATTAATTTTAAAAATTAGCACTAAAATATTTACAAGTAAACGCTTAGAAAATCTCCAAATCTTTCCGCCATCTGTCAACCAGTATTATTTAACAAATTTGTCAAATTTTTTATAAAAATATGATCAAGAATTTATTTATGTGTTATTTAACAACTGATTACTTACATACAAATAATAATTATTAATAATAAAAATAAAATAAATGACAAAAATTACATCTCTCTCTTTCTTTCTATCAAATATTATTAAATAGAATATTATTGAATTATTTTAATATAGAAGTGCTAACACAAATGTAGTCCATATAAATTTTGGTGCAAAATTTTTTTTACATATTATTAATAATAATAATATAATTTAGCACTAGGTATAATAATAGATTAGAAACTAAAATGTCTAATTTTTCAGATAACAGCTCTATTGTAACACAATTAACATTGATTATCACAATTTCTATGGTCAATAAGGAAACTCTAGTACATTTAAAAATTTTATGATTAATTACATACCTGTAATACGAAGTGTTTTGTTCAAGTCATTGCATCCCATAGCAAAGCCAGCTATGTGAGCACCCAAGGAAAAGCCAATTATGTGGAATAGTGACAGGTCAAGACCTGCTGCCACAATCTTTGTTAAACATTGATTCCACAAATCGCCTACTCCAAAAGCGTCTTTGGCAACTTGGAAGTAATTGATGTTAAATGCGTATTTACCCCAATCGAGTATTATAACATGATTTGTTCCATTTTCACAAACCACTGATAATGCAAATAATTATTAAAATTTGTATCGTTTTCCTTTCATATGTATTAAAATAATCGAATTTCTTAATAAATATTAAAATCTAATTGCTTATATTATATAAAAACCCGATACCATTTGCCAGATCCCGAATTTTTGTATTGTTTCCTAATTGAAAAAATCCATGTATGACAATCTTTATTGGTTTTATTGGATTTTTTAAACATTTATCAACCCATCTGGGTTTGTGATGGAATAGTTCGATGTTTGATTATTAGTGCTGAAATAATACATAGGATTAGCAATTATTAAATAAATATTCGAAAATAATCTGCACGAACCAGTCGTAATAGAGGAGAGAGACACCATTCCCAAAGTCTGGATCCGTTACGTTACCTATACAAAGAATTACATATACATTAATTTTCATATTTTTGACATTTGCGAATATATAGTGCCAAGAATTATTGCAGAAGAAAACGGATTTTTACAGCAAGCAGTTTTATTAAATGTCGTTTCACAAGTATTTGGAATACTATATGCTGTCTTCACGAGGTATAACAAAAAATAATAGTATATAGCCGATGTTAACATTTTGAACGAAAAAAATATATCGTGAACTGCAAAAGTTACACTAATATTTTTATTACAAATGTTTTCAGCAACTAAAGTGAATTTGAAAGTTACTGTCTTTTATAGTTAGAATTTTTATCATTTCATATTATTATCGATCGATGACAAAATGGTAATTATATAAATTGCTGAAGTAAAGTAAATGTCCTATGTGTATGCATTATCATACAGGAAAGTAATAATTAAAAAATATTAAAAAATAATTTAAAAATATAATTTTTAAAAAAAGTTTATCTATATAATATACAAGATGTCCCAAAATATTTACATTTTCAATATTTCAGAATGTTCTAGAATCTGAAAGTCGACAATTTGGGAATGTTTCGCTATAAAGATGTCGGGTCTTTAAGGCATTGTCATAGCACGTTCGTACATAAAATGATTAGCCAGTGCCTCAAAGCTAAATGTCGCATTTTATAAAAGTAATAAAATCTGCAACGTAAAAAAGATAATAAATTAAAGAAAATACAATGACAATGTTAAAATGGCAGTAGTTACAGTACCCAATCATCGACAAAAACAGATTAAAAAATAACTAGGTCATAACATAAAATAGCATATAAAGATTTTCTTCTGTTCTTTCTCTATTCTTGTTTTTGTCACCTATCGTTAATTTGATTGAGCGGACAGTACTCTGCGTGCGAATTACATAAGCAATTTACGCAAAACTTGCTTCTAAGATGAGGCTACAAGCGTCTTTATTCTTAAATAGATTATCTCAAAAACGTTTTTATTTTCTGTTATAAAATATGAACGCATTTGAAATTAATTGGATTTACACATAAGTTTTGTCATATTTAAATGTAGTCCCTTACTCCATTGAAACATCCCTCGAAATTATGATCGACAATTTTTTGACAACAAAAAGGACTAGAATACAAGAATAGAATAAGGATATGTATATGTATTTATCAATTTTCGTAAAATTCGAAGCTCAAATTTAATCACAATTCGGTTTCGAACATACATATGTTTATAAGACAATTTTGTTTTTTTCTTTTACTTATAGAATATGTCTTTTTTACTGTCAATTCTAAGACATCCGGTATACTACTATTACATAAGACCTTGCACAAATATATAATTATGAATCAAAAAAAAATTTTATTTTGAAATACGCTACATTATATTTTATCTACAAAATGTGTAAGAAGAAAAAATGTGAAAAGTACTGCTGTTGCGAAAACTTATTGTAATATATTATTATCTATACTGTTATATATACTATCAATATTTGTGAAATATTCCGTAGATATATACTTTATTATATATGTACACGTGTATTATCTACTTCATTTTTCTTCTAATTACAATTTTATAATTAAATATTTTATCAAATTTTGTTTATTCAAATTAAAAAATTCATTAATTTTTTAAAATTACAAATATAAATTTTATTTTGTACAAAGAATAATCAATTTAAACTTTTAAAAAATTAAAAAGAAATTAAACACGAATATTTTTAATATATCTTTCGTATATGCACCAGTCAATTATCAATAGTCAGTGAACAATAAATCTATAAAAATCAGAACTATCTTTACAAAAGGGAAAAGTGTGTGCCCTATATATATAAATATATATTTATTCAGAAATTTAATTTGCATCAGAAAGATGACACAAAAAATATACACAGATATATATTAGTATCGCATATGCACTTTAACATAGTTAATTATTTTTTTAATTTGCTTTCTAATAAAATTATTAATACAACTAGAAAAACCGAATAATCTTGACAAGTGCGCCTTTTATATAAATATTTAGAAATTTAATTTATATTTATATTTATACTGCAAATATATTTTTCCCAATTTATTTTGAAAAATAGAAACTGCTGTCTCGCGTAGGTAAATAAATTATGTTTATTCTCATCAATAAAAATTTCGAGAATATAAATTATTCTCTAATTTTATGTATTCGATGTATGCTATATATCATCGATTCGATATTATTTTGAAAATTAATTGAAAAATATAAAATTTTAGATCGAGATTACAATTCTTTTTAAATGTTAGTCTTTCTTTAAGAAGGTTTTAAAAGAAGTTATTATTTATTCACATTTCTAATTTACGTAATATTAAACTATTCGAAATATAATTAAACTTATATTTAAACTTTTTGACGAAAACTTTTTTGACGATATATAAAGAAGAGAGAGAAAGAGAGAAAGGAAAGACAAAAAATCAGATAGTGTGAAACTAAATTCTTTCTGATCTACAATTGAGATTTTTTCCATAGAAGTTTCATCATAATTGATAAAAATTTAGTATCGTCGGAAAACTTCGAAACTCTTCTTGTCGCTGGAAATTTTACTCTTATACAAATGATATGTAAATTCTGTACAGCGGAATTTGTATGAGTGTACAGTACATTGTAACAGAAAAAGATGGCTTAGATTTTTGGGACAAATAAAATAAGTGTCATATTAAAATGTAAATCGATAGATTTAATAATATTTCAATTTAATGTTTGAATAATCTGACCAATATAATTTGTGAAATAGAATGTATAAGTATTTTTCCGAAAGTTACGGTTATTATTACAATACATTAGTAAACGGTGAATTTAGTCCGAGATAGGTAAGTCAAAAAAAAAAAAGAAATATAAACACGTATAATTCGATCGATTTATCTATCACGACTCTGCGACAGTTCGATATCGATTCGTTGTCGCGAAAACAAAATCGACTAATCGTGCAATTGATTGCACGCATAAGAAATCAGAATATGCATGTCTAAATTAATATAAAAATGATTGTAGTAAATACATAATTTACTACAATTAATAATATTAAATTTTTGCTAAAATCTGGTTGTCTTAAAAGAAGTGATAATATGTCAATAAATTACGGTAAATATTATGCATCTTTCTCAATTATATATTTATATCTGATTTGTTATTTTTATCAGAGAATACACATTCTTATAATATTTTTTGAGATATTTATAGGTATATTAATATCGGTTTATGGTACGTTTATAACTCCTGTACTGAAATAAAAGTGTCCATACCTACAAAAACATTATAAATTAATATTTGTCACATAAAAAGTATATTCATATATATAAATATGTATACACACTCACGCACACTACATGTACATACATATACATATACATAGAATATTTCAGGAGAAATGATCAGCATTTTAGAACATGATTGTACACATTATTTTAAACAAAAAAGTTTATATAAGCATGTGTCTTATTCCAGATGGTTATAAAGATACAGCATATATTCCGTTTTAAGAACGAAAACATTTATTTTATTAATTTAATAGAACCAAATTCTATCAGATAATTACATTAAATTTTAAAAATTTGAACAATTAATAATCATTTGAATTTATAAATAATTTTAATTTTGGCATGAGTGAATAAGGTATTTTAAATACACTAGAAATTAAAAATTTCAAATTAACACATGACTTATCATGTTTACATTCGTAACCATTGTAACAGAAAATAACGAAAATTTAATGTAATTATTTTATAGCATTTGGTTCTACTAAATTAATAAATTATTGATTCTTCAAATTAAACACCTTGCATTTTTATAACCGTTTAAAATAGGACACACGTTTATATAAACTTTTGCTTAAAATAATGTGTAGAATTATGTTCTAAAATGCTGACCATTTCTCCTGTCATATCCTGTATAAGTGTGCATGCGTGTGTTTCTTAATTTATATAAAATAATTAAATAAAATTTTAATTATCTTACACATTAGTTGATGCATTATATCCAACGCCAGTCTGCAAATTGTTTCTGCATACAGCATTTGCATAATCAGTATACGAAAGACATTCTAGTGCACTAAATTCTGTCGGTTGAAGTTTCGATAGTGCATATATTTCGCCTGCTTTTAAGTGATTGCAAAAATCTAGTAGTAACAAAAAAAATAATTAGAGCAAGACACTGGAAACAAGTCTTTGTAACATTGTGTACCGAGATAAACCGATGCTGTAATTTTGAATAATTTTTCGCGTTATAATTTTCCGAACGTTCCAAGTAATCGTTGACAAATTACCTTTTTTTACACTTTTAATAAATTCTTTAAAATACAAAAAAAATATTGGTAATATTGAGATATGGATCCTGGGAAAAAAATTTTTATATATAACAATGTAAAAATTTTATATAAGAATATAAAATTATACATATAATATCGTAAAATTATATATGAAATATATCCATACATAATTAGATAAAAGTGTTTTTTGTATATAATTATATAAATTTATATATATACGAACCCTTATAATTTATATATAAATTTATATAATATTTATATAATAATTATACAATTATTTATATATAATTATATATACAAAATTTCTTCCCGGGATGTTAATATTAAAGTATTCAAAGGAGTGATTTGTATTTCCGGAAATTAATTTCTATTGTAAAGAGAAATTTTAATGGATGTATTTAATAGTTTCGCGATATTACCGAACAAAGGAGCACTAATTTTGCAACCAGGTTGAGGACGAGCGCCTGTGTTTGCGAAATACTCAGCTGATCCTACAGGAATAGCGGTGCCAATTCCGCCCATGTCCGTATGAATGACATCTATATACATTGCATCTGAAGGTTCGAGATAGCATCCAGAAAGATAAAGCTCAGGATTTGCGGGTTCCAATCCTATAAACAATAATTATCGACTAAGAAGGTTTTTGAATACAATTATTCAATGATTATTTAAAAATCTAATTATTCAATTTGCTGTTAATTTTTTTATTAAGAAGAACCTGATCAAGAATCTATATTACTCGTATATAAAGATTATATATTAATAATAAAAACGAAATTAAGGAAATTATTAATCCTTCTATTAAAAAAGAATATTATTGAATTATTTTAATATAAATGTTAACACAAATTTAATTTATATGAAAATAATTTAATGACAAAAAATTTTATATTGTTAATGATATTATATGATTTAGCACTCGATATATTATTTAATAACACGGATTATTACCTAAAATATTTAATTTTTCAGAAAGCTCTTGTCACACGCACACAATTATTATTTATTACAATTTCTATCGCGTCAAATCAGGAAACTCTCATAGATTTTTAAGATTTTGTTTAATTACATACCTGTAATACGAGGTAGCACGAAGTTATTGCATTTGCCAACAAAGCCAGCTATGTGAGCACCCAAGGAAAAGCCAACAGGATAGACTTTCGATACGTCAAGACCGTTGTTCACAAGTATTTGTATACTTCGAGCGAACAAACTGCCTATTTTTTTACTGTTTTCGGCGGTAGTTGCGTAACTGCTGCCATTTGAATATTTGGTCCAATCGAGTAATACAACATTATCCGTATTTCCATGACAGAGCGCTGACAACGAAAATTATTATTATTTCGTATTATTTTACTTTGATATTTACTACACTGAAAAACAATTATTTAACTTAACAAAAAAAAAATGATTTGACTCAACAAAATCTGCGGTCGAATACATGCAAATAAATATCAATATGTAATAAGTACTAAATATTTTGTTAACAAAATCAATGTAATAAGAATGTAATGTAATGTAATAATGTAATGCAATTGTAATGTAATGTAATAATGTAATGCAATGTAATGTAATAAGAATGTAATCAATGTAATAAGAATGTAATCAATGTAATAAGAATGTAATTAATGTAATAAGAACTAAATATTTTGTTAACAAATATTTAGTTCTTATTACATTGATATTTATTTGCATTCGACCGCAGATTTTATTAAGTCAAATTTTTTTTTTAATTATTTAAATTATATAGCTTTTTAATAATTATTTAATTTATAAATTATTTAATTATCTAATTTTAAAGTTATTTATCTATATAATTTCAAAAAAATATATGTATTTAAATTATTTAAATTATTTAAATTATATATAAGTATTTTATTTTTAACAAAATATTTCAAATTTATTTGCATGTATTTGACCGCAGATTTTGTTAAGTCAAATAATTGTTTTTCAGTATATAATAATCAAATTTATTATTTACGTGTTATATAAAAACGCAATACCATTTATTACTGCCTGAACACTTAAATCGTTTGCAACTTGATTATATCCAAATATGTAAAAAATTACTCGTTTATCCGTATCCAAAATATCCAACAACCTTGTGGCTGCGTGATGGGGAAGTCAGTCGTTGCAGGAGTTTCGTCATTGCTGGAAAAAGTGCATGTAATTAAATTATAGTAATTGTAATTTTTTGAAAATTGCGGCCGCAGATAGAAACCTGTTGTAATAGACGAGATTGACGCCAGTCGCAAAGTCTGAATCCGGTAGTTCACCTACAAAGAATTATAATAATTTTCACATTTTTTACATTTATGATTATAGTGCCAACAAATTTTACACTAAAACAGAAGAAAAAAGACAAGAAACAAAACAGAAGAAAAAAGATTATATTTACATGAACAAGTTGCTTGACTATATGCTGTCTTTATCACGAGATATGACAGAAAACAATAGTATAGAGCGGATGTTAACATTTTGAACGAGAAAAATAACTCCGCGAAAGCTACACTTATATTTCTGATACTAATGTTAACAAATAAAATTTGGACTACACTCTTTTATATTTAGCATTTTATTATCATTATTATTATCGATAACGGAATAGTCATTACAAAAATGAATCACGTAAAATAATTATGTAAATATGTAAATATCCTGTGTGTGTGTCTTATTATAGTAAAGAAAAACATATTTTATCCTCATAACATTTATTATCTTTACGTAAGACATGACGCAAATAAATATAACTATAAATTGGAACAACGTGCGTGCATTTCAAAATGCGATACATTACATTTCTACTTTGAAATGTACAAAAAAAGTAAAACTCTGTTGCTGTTGCGAAAATTTACAATTAATTAAAGCAAGGTACTATTATCTCTTGCTATTTTTGCCAATCTTATGGAACATGTAAATATATATTCTTTATTAGATATACAAGTATTATTAATTATAATTTTCTTTTAATTAAAATTTGATGATCAGGTTTTTTATAAAATTTTGTTTTATCAAATTAAAAAAATATACATATATTAATTTTTTTAGAATAACAATAAATTTTATTTCTTTAAAATAATAACCAATTAATTTTATTTTAATCACAAAAATTATACACGGATATTTTAGGACCTTTCGCATTATCACAATTGATAGAAATTTAGTTTTATTGGAAAAATTTGAAACTCGGCTCGCACTTCTTTGTCGGTGCTTATTTACGTATATCTATTTTATCAGCAATATATTTTATATTATTTTTCATCTATTATTGATGTTAAAATAAAGAATTTATAAAATTAATACGTGTTATTTAGTTTTCGAAATTCCTTATATTTAAAAATTGCAATATTTTAATGATTAATATACATAATTGATGCGAAAAAATGATATCTTACATTTCTCCTACAATATTTATTATACAATTATTTTGACAGTGTGCTTAATAACATAATGAAACGAATATAAAAAATATAAGACTATACAGATGTATAAGATTTATCTACTGATATATAAATATATCTATGTTATAAAGTTAAAATAACGCTCCAATATTTTACATAAAGACAAAGCCATTTTTAAAAAAGTTAATTTTAATACAATTATATAATATAGATATATAATTATACATACATACATATATGGTATAGTTTTATTAATTATAATAAATACATATAAATATATATATATATATATAGTTTTATTTAATTAAATAAATTAATTTTCTCTTAAAACTTTTTTTATGTAAATGTATAATTATGCATTGGAATTTTTATATTATATATATATATATATATATATATATACAATTTCTATTAAAATATAAAAAATTATATATAATATACACATATACTTATATATATATATTTATTTATATATTTAATTGTATATATTTATATAATATAAAATTACATATAATAAATGTAATTAAATAAATATGTATAAAACGTATAAATGTATAATATACAAGTATATAATGCAATATAAACATAAAAATATTAAAGCTAATATTATATGCATTATTATTAACGCATTATTATTGATATAATTATAATGCATAATTATTGTAATTATTGTAATTATATTTGATTGTCAAAGATATAATTTTACTTTTACAATTAGTCTTTATAGATGTTACTAATTACATTAAACATTTATTGCAATTAATTCCGGTAGATTAAGTTTTTTTCAAAGTAAAATTATAAATTAGCATAAACAAATATAAAACTGTAACTAAATTATATTGTAGTAAGTCATAAAATACACTAATCTAAGATACTAACATAATTTTAGATGGTAAATATGATTCGTGATTGTAAATATATATATCTTATATTTGCAAATTTTATTTTATAATCGCAGTTTATTCTTAAAAATGTTACATATTTTAAATTTGGAAAAATAATTTTATCAAGTTACAGACAGATATAAGTGAAATAGAAATCTGATTAATTTTATTTTATATGTGTGCATATAAAGAAATAAATATAAAGAGAATTATCATATTACTGTTTTTTAAAATAATAAACGCAAAGAAGGATTATATTTTCGCGAATATCGAGATAAAATTCAACAGGATAAATAAATATTTTCTACAAAATTTATATTATATAATTATATTAGATTAATATCATTATATTATATTAATTAATATTATATTAATTAATTTATATTATATTAATATAATTATTATAGTATATTAATTCATATTAAATATTTTCTCGTATCGTATCCGTTATTGTGAAAAAGAAATGAACGCCTAAATTAAATAATTAACGCTGCCAATGTTACTAAAGATGACGCACGAGACCGATGCAACGAAAGTCTCCTTCAAAGAACCTCAGTCAGGGCAAACAAATAGTCGGAATTCATTATCGGAGTGTTGACGGGTATTCCTCGGGGTGGATCAATATAAGTTCCTAAGACCTTCGTCTCCTCTCATCGGGTATTTGCCTCGGAGTGGCTCTCTTCGAAATCCGCGAAAACGAGAATGTATATTTGCTTTATTATTATGTACAATAAAAAATTTTGCGTTGTTCTTTTCCTCAATAATTAAGCTTCTTTCACCTGCGATAAATAATAAACAAGGAAAATAAGAGACATTCATCTGTTGGAGAACAAAATTAATTTTAACATTTAAAATATTAGGGAATACGTACATATATTATATTATATTTTCATGATTAAGTTGATTTTAATAGACGGATAATGAGACATATTTTACGCGTAATATATTGTAATTAGGTTTATTAGGTTCCTATAAAACCTAATAAAAATTCGATGGCTGTGCGGAAGTGCGTAATGCCGCGATATAATGAATCTAATTTACGCGAAAACGCGTTTCATTGAACGGCAAACGATATGTACGTCGCAGGCTCTCCATAAATTCAATTCTTTCGGCAAAAAAGCCTTTTACAAAAGCTTTTTCGAAAACGCTTTAACAACGTTTAAATAATAAATGGCTATATTCACAATTGTAATTAATTAATTATGAATTTTAGATAAATAATTCTTTATTGTATTACAAATTCTTTTTTATTACATTGAATTTTCTTATTTTTTTTCTACCAATTCTGTCGTATTTCAGGGAAAGGCAAATATATCTTTAGAAGCATTTGTAGTATAGTATGAAAACGTGTATTGTAAGTCTTTTATAAAAGCTTTTTATAAAACGTTTTAATGACGTTTAAATAATATGTGGCTGTAGAAAATTATAATTAATCATTAAATTAAATGGAAGGAAAATATACATAAAGATTTCGAAGCATTCGTTATTGCATATTACGGAGACGTCATGTGTATTGCAAAAAATCTTTTATAAAATCTTTTTAGAAAATGCTTCAACGACGTTTATAAGTAATAAATGGTTATTGGCAGTTGTAATTAAAATTATTATAGATTTTAGATAAATATTTTTATCACAAATTCCTTTTTACTACATCGAACTTTTTAATTTTTTTCTTCTAAATTTGATTTCAGGGAAAGGAAAATATGTATTCATGAGATGAATCTTTAGAACCATATCGTTATTATATATTACGGGGACGTCAGGTGTATTAAGTTCAGAGAGCGTGTGTTGATGTGCATATGTATATTTTTGAAATTTTACCTCTGCTATCTTTCTCTCTCTCTGTCGTATTTTCACGCCGCCTTGGGCTGACCTTCCGACCGACGCGATGTCACATGCACATACCTATACATGTACATACAGTACCCTCCACAAGTTGGAAACACCTTACATTTTACAGTTAAACAATCGTATGGCAGCGATCTGTGCAGATTTTTTGTATCAATAAATCGACAAATATTTAAATGACACTTTTATTTATGACAGATCGCTGCCAATATGACAGCGATCTGTCATAGACCTGTCATGAAGACCTGTTACAATAAAAGACCTGATTAATAATATTTCAAATAATATATTTACTGATAAAAAACATCCCATTGAGTTTATATTCTTGCATGTTACGAATATCTAATTAAAGAATATTTTTTTAGAGATTTTTTCTCTTAAATTAAAAGTATTCTTTTGACAGATTGTGCAGATTTTTTGTATGACTCAATCGTAAAATAAACGTAAAATATTTAAATGACATTTTATTTATGACAGATCGCTGCCAATATGGCGATCTGTCATAGACCTGTCATGAAGATTTGTTACCATAAAAGACCTGATTAACAATATTTCAAATAATATACTGATAAAAAACAGATCTGTGCAGATATTTTGTATGAATAAATCGTAAAATATTTAAACGACTTTGTTATTTATGACAGATCACTGCCATGCGATTGTTTAACTGTAAAATGTAAGGTGTTTCCAAACTTAAAATAAAGATAAAATGTTTAAATGACATTTTTATTTATAACAGATCGCTGTCAATATGGCTTGTTAATTTCCAATATTAAAAAATATTTCTTTAGAAAATTTTTCTTTTAAATGAAAAGTATCCTTTTGACAGATTTGTGCAGATTTTTGTATAAATAAATCGTAAAATATTTAAACGACTTTTTTATTTATGACAGATCGCTGCCTAATACTGTAAAATGTAAGGTGATTCCAAACTTATGGAGGGTACTGTATACCTGAAAAGAGTCCGCTTATTGCGCTTTTGCAAAAGCGCAGTTTCCCATTATTATTATAAACTCGTCTGCGCGCGACGCACGTCATCCGCCGCGATGTTCGCGCTGCGAGTTATGAAATATCGCGAAAAGTCGGAACGAGGGAATATGCACAGGCGAGTGGGTCAGACTCCCGAGGAGTCTGCGCGAAGGGGAAAAAGCGAGAGAAAATTCACCGTCGAAATTTTCGCGCCGAGCGAGGACAAGTTTTTACTCGTCCTATGAGAAAAACGTCCCTATATTTTTTATTTTTTTTTTGCCGCCGTTATGAATTATTATCTCGTCGCAGGCGTATCGCGGAAGTTCTCTCTCACTCTGGTGAACCGGAAATTGGAAGAGTCTGTAGATGCCGAAATAAAAATTAAAATCGTGCGCGACGACGCGATATGGCATTCGATCGATCGCTTATCGAGCTTCAAGATTCAATGA